GAGCCTTGCTGGAGAGCATGGGCTTGGGAAGGGTTTTAGCAGGCTCCCCAGAGAGCACTGCCTCCTTGGGGATATTTTCTTCTTGAGAAAGCGGGTGCTGGAGATGTCCCCGTTGACACAGCATTGCTCTGTGTGGTGGTCCTGCAGGCGTGTGTTGCTCTGAGGTCTCCTGGCAGGGCTGCAGCCCAGCCCAGCCCTCTGGTGCTGTGAGCCCAAAGTGCAAGGGAAGAGGAAGCTGGTTGTTCCAGGGAAACCGGGCAAGGCGCAGTCTTGAGGCAAGAGAGTGCATCTCTTGAGCAATTCCAGACAACCTCTCGCAGTGGGTTTGAGCACCCCAGCGAGGAAGCAGCACTGGTGGCACTGAGATCCCTGGGGTCAGCCCCCACCTTGCCCCAAAGCGAGATCCTCTCTCACCACCGGCCTTTCCCCACAGAAAGCTGCGCTGGCACAGCTTCCAGAACTCACACCGGCCCAGCCTGAACTCGGCCTCCCTGGAGATCACCCGCCAGTCCTCCGCCCAGCTCAACCTGCTCCAGAAGTGCTCCCTGCTCCGTCTCACGGCCATCATGGAGAAGTACTCCGTGCCCCACAAGCAAGCCTGGACGTGGTGAGCTGCTGGGGAGCAGGATGGGGACGGTGCCCATGTCTCTGCGCTGTGCCAGGCGCTGCCTCCCAGCCCAGGGCAGCTTCAGGGTGTGAAGATGGTGGAGAGGAAGGGGAAAAGGCTGAAACAGAAGCTGGCTTTGCTCTGCATAGCCGGGGGCATCCTTGCAGACCTGAGCTCGGGCTCCCAGTGTCTCCTGCCTCCAGGAGGGCTGCAGGCGTTTGTGGGGCATGAAAAATGCTGAAGCAACGGAAGTGAGTGGGACAGTGGTTTCATTTTAAAGCATTTTTTCTTAATAAAAGGTGCTGCAGTTCCTGCCTGAAAGCCACATTGTTTATATTCAAAGCATGGCAGAAGCACGAGTGTTCGTGTGTGTGACCTGGGGTTATCTGACGTCTCTCTGTCCCCCCCTGCAGGACCGTGCCCAAGTTCATGAAGCGAAGTAAAGTCCCCGACTACAGGGACAAGATGGTTTTTGGGGTGCCGCCTGTGGTCAACGTGCAGCGGACGGGGCAGCCGCTGCACCAGAGCATCAAGCAAGCGATGCGCTCCCTCCGCA